GAAAGCTATGTTTAAAGAAATAAAGGAAAGCATGACAATTTCCCACTAACTAGACTACTGATAAAGGAAAATTTTAAAGAATTTAATGAAAACTTTATATACTCAAAAGGACAATAGCCAAAAAAAAAAAAAAACAACATATTAGTAGAGATAGTCAATCATAGATTTGTGGTGGCAGAAGATCAGTGAAATGGAGATAATCAACAAAGATTATCCACCCTAAAGAATAGGAAAAATGAAAATAAAAAAAGGACAGAAAATCAAGAGATCATTAAAAAGAGATAGAGATATCATTAAAAAGAAGGGGAAGAAAAAAATGACACCAAATTTCATGAAAAATATTAACCTGTGTATCCAGCAAATACAATTCAAATAGGTTAAATGCAAAGAGATCCACCTTTTACAATAACCAAACTATTGAAAGCAGTGCCAAATATTTGGAAAAGAAGGAAAAGAGAGAACATTACATCAGGAAAATGATAATGTCTTCATCAAACAGCAAAGGACTGAAGGTAGTGGGATGGCATATTCAAATTACTGAAAGGAGAAAACTTGCTAACTAAGCATTCTATAACTAGTAAAAGATTATGCTTCAGAAATGATAAAAGACGTTCCCAGATAAACAAAGATGGAAAATGTGTAGCGACCTGAACTACCCTTATATGAATTCTAAAGGAAGTCCGATAGGAGGAAAAGAAATAATTTACAATGGTAAAACAAATCCACGCAAAGAAATAAAAGGCAATTCATTTTCTATATTCTGGTGTTGGAATGATTTATAAATATCCATTAAGTTCATCTCATCTAATTTGTCATTTAAGGCCTTTGTTTCCTTGGTGCTTGCCTAGCTGGATGATCTATTGATTACTATAAGAGGGGCATGAAAGTTCCCTACTGTTACTGTGTGTGGTCACTATCTCTCTTTAGGTCTGTTAATATTTGTGTTATATATTTTGGTGCTGCTCTGTTGGGTGCATATACATTGATAATTGTTTTGTTTTCCTTTCCTTTTGTATTGCTCCCTTTGTCAGTATATAAGGTCCAGCTTTGTCTTTTGCTATCTTTCATAGCTGAAGGTCTCTTTTACCTGATACAAACAGATGCTCTTGCCATTTAAAGTTTTTGAATTGGCTAGGAGTACCCATTTATATCCCTTCACTTTTAAGTCTGTGTTTGTCTTTATAGCTTAAGTGAGTCTCTTGTAAGCAGTGTATATTGGGCAAAATCACATAATTGATGGACATGGAGAAAGCACTTGATAAGTTCTGATACATATAGAGAAGTTACCAACTTTTCTCTCAACATTATATTCTATTATAAGCTAGGAATAGATGGAAACATCCTTAGCTTGATAAAAGGCATCTATAATTCCCTACAGCCAACATCATACTTAACGTGGAAAGACTGGATGATTTTACCCCTAAGATTGAGGACATGACTAGGATGTCAGTGCTCACCACTTCAATTCAACATTGTACTGGTATAGCAGGTGCAATAATGCAGGAAAAACAAATAAATACATTTAGATTAGAAAGGAAGATGTTCAATTGTCTTTATTTTCAGGCATCATAATTCTGTGTGTAGATTATCCCAAGGAATTTACAAAAAACTACTAGAAATAATAATTTCAGCAAGGTGTCATTGAAAAGCAATATGTAAAATAAATTGCATTTCTATTGATTAATATTAACAATCTGAAAACATTAAGAAAACAGTTTTTTAAAAAGATTATTCATTTTACACAAGAACCGGGGTACAGGCCAGATGTGCAGGAGGGTGAGAGGATTCACCAGAGACAGAGCGGGGAACAGAACAGGTAGACTGATGAAATACACTGCTGAGGGGAACAGCGGGCGCGACAGTAGAGGTCTGCCGCACCATGTGGGATCCTCACTGGCTGACTGGGATCAAACCGGCACTGCAGAGGCTGCGGACAGCTTCACAGGACAGCGCTCAACTACCTGCGCCACCAGGGGAGGCCCAAGAAAACAGTTTTTTCACAATAGCCTCAAAATGAACAAAAATGCTTGAGATAAATGAAAAAAATAAGTGCAAAACTTGTACGTTAAAAACAACAAATCAATGCTGAGAAAAATTAATGTCTAAACAGATGGTGAGCTAATCCACATTTATGAAGTGGAAAATTTAGCACTGTTACAATGGCATTCCAAACTGATCTGTTGATTCAATGTTATGCCTGTCAAAATCCCAACAGGCTTTTTTAAAAAAATCATATTTCTGGTATGACTTGTATGTAGAAAATGCGTGCGACTCTTAAAACTCAATGAGAAGATTAACAACTTAAAGAAGACAAAAGTTTTGAATAGATGTGTATTTTGCCAAAATACACATAAAATAAATAATAAGCACTTGCAGAGAGCTTGCAGGGAAATGTCAAACTATTGAGATAGTTTAATGGTGAGATACCATTAAACACCCACTGGGATATCTAGAATCTAAAAAACAAAACAAACATAACAAGTGAGGATGTAGAAAAGTGAGAATTGTCATACATTGCAGGTGGGAATATAAAATGGCACATTCACTTTGGAAAAGTTTGTGGGATCTTAAAAGTTAACTTAGAGTTACCATAGTGATTAAATTTACCTAGCGATTCTACTTCTTGGTATCTATGTAAGTGAAATGAAAAAAAAAAAATACAAAGACTTGTCTATGAATATTCATAGCAGAAATTTTAATAATAACCTATAAGAGAAGCAACTCATGTGTTCATCAATTGATGAATGGGTGAATAAAATTTGATTATTCCTGTAATATAGTACTATTCAGCAATAAAAAGGAGTGAGCTTCTGTTATATGCTGCAACAGAAATGAACCTCAATTATTAGGCTAAGTAAAAGAACTCAAATACAAAAAATGCCCCACTATGTATTGTGCAATTCTATTTGTATGAAATGCCCAGAAGAGGGACATTTGTAGAGATCAAGAACATATTATGGTTGTCTGGGGCAAGGACTGTAGAGTGACTACAGATGGCTTGATTGGTATTTGGAGGGGGCGGGGCGGTGATGGAAATATTTAGATTTTGATGATGGTTGCACAACTCAGTGAAAGTTATTGAATCATGTATTAAGATAATACATTTTTTGTTATACAGATAATTCCTCAAAGCTATTTAAGGTGGGCCTTCACTTATATTGGCTATGTATCTCAAGGCTCCTGGGAAGCTCTTTTTGTTCTAAACTATTGTCAAGCTGTAAGCAAAAGAATTCCCTGTGTATTCAAAAGGTTTGGTAGGGCTCCATGTTTGCTCCTTTAGATCTGGTGATTGATGCTCACAATATGGGCAGCATAGAACTTGGGTGTGAGCCAAGTATTATGTATAATACTTAGTACATATTAAGTATTATATGAGTCAAGTATAGCAGCAGAGTTGAAGAGGTTAAATGATGCTAACTTTTTTTTTTTTTAAGATTCTACCTTTTTTTTTTTTTTATTTATACAAGAACTGGGTTACAGGCCAGAGGCATGGGAGGGTGAGAGGACTCACCAGAGACAGAGTGGGGAGCAGAACAGGCAGACGACTGAAATACACTGCTGAGGGGAGCAGCAGACGAGAGAGGAGAGGCCTGCCATGCCATGTGGGTATCTCCCTGGCTGGCCGGGAATCGAACCCGTGCTACAGAGGCTGTGGACATCTTCACAGCGCTGCGCTCAACCTGTTACACCACCAGGGAGAACCTGAGAATTACGCTAACTGTGATACCATTTTCTCACCTGTACTTCCAGACTCAAAGCTGCTCTGAGGATCTATTTGGTGAAATTAGTTTGAAAGTCTCCGCAATACTGTCTGAGGACAATAGCTGCTCCTCAAGATGCATTGGGGCCACCTCTAGGGCAGATTTCCTTTGGGTATAGGCCTCCCTTTATCCCAGCCATACAAGTCCATAGCAGAGGCTCCTCTTGAGGCAGACATCCCCTAGATAGAGCTTTTTACTTTAACCCCTACTCTATAAAAAAGAGAGCTTTGTCAGAACAGCATAGCTTTGGAGTCAATTATGTGGTTTAAATTCCAACTTCTAACTCCCTAGCCATGTGGCTTTTGGGTAAGTTTTTTAGCCTCTGAATCTTGACTTTTTTTTTTTTTTTTTTTTTTTTTTGTGAGATGGAGACAATCATATCTATTACAAAGGGTTATTGTGACGATAGAACAAGATTGTTTCTGGAAAGCCCTGAGCACTATTGACTGGCAAAGTCAATGTTGGAACTGGATAGTGGAGTGGGCCAGAACATGGATTTTGGTTCTGAATTTGCATCTTGGCTGTTCTATTTCTAGCCAAGTGGTTTTGGGACAAGGTTCCCAATTTCTCTGTGCCTCTACACCTGAAAATGAACATCTTGATAGTGTATACCTTACTAGGGCTGTCTGAAAATGAAAAGATTTAATAGAAAAAGCATTTGGAACACTATAATAAACTCTATACTCTCACCAGTCAATACAGTGCCCTTATTCTCCCAGAGCAGCAGATTGGACTTACAAGGGTTAGATGTGTGGCTTATAGGACAGCATGCCGGTTACCCCAGGGATGACCAGGAGGCCTGATTGGTCTGGCTGGTGGCCCAGTGGTGGTGGATGGTGAATCTCTTTTTTCTGCACCATGTGCATCTTCGCCACCCTCTGCTGATTCAGAGAGGACACCGTCCCCAGTGCAGAAGGGAAAACTATTCCTCGGTTAGAGTAGACCAGTGGTTGAACTCATTTTCTGGAATTAATTCCCTGAACCCCTCAATGGCTCTCTAAAATCCCTGTGTGCCACCCTGTGGGTGTGACGAGACTCCTGTACATTTCTCTTTTTTGCATAGTAACCTGCAAACCATAAAGCTGACAGCATTTAGGTGGTAGCAGGGTGTGCTCTGTTTTTTTCTTTGTCTCAAGGAACATGTCACTGGAGACTGGCTTGTGGCTTTGGGGCCCTTTGGAGTACATGCAATCATACCACTTGATTTATTAGTAATTACCACTTCTGCTTTGTTTGCAGCTGATTATTTACCCTGGAACCAACCGAAACGAGAACTACTTCGTCCAAAACACCAGTTTCTGCCACCATCAGCCAGATTTGATAATCGAACCACACACCAGGATGACTACTCTTTGAAGGGGCCAGTGAATACCCCGAGCTGTAAGCCTCCGATTAAGCCCAGACTCTGCAACATCCCCCTTGAGGATCTGACTAACTACAAGATGAGCTACGTGGCCCACCCTATGGAGAAGCGCTTTGTTCATCAACCAGATAAGTTCAGACCCTGTGAAATCCCCTTTGAAAGCCTCACCACCCACAAAGAGTCCTACCGGGGCCTTAGAGGGGAGCCAGCCAAGAGCTTGAAACCTCCAGGCAGGACCTGTGGTCTAGACACACCTTTCTCTAATACCACTGAATTTCGAGATAAGTATCAAGCTTGGCCAACACCCCAGATATATTCCAAAGCTCCTGTCTCCTATGTCCCTCCTGAGGAAAAGATGGACTTTCTGACAACAGTGCAGGCCCATTACACTTACCCTAAAGGCGCTCCTGCTAAGTCCTGCCGGCCTGTGCTCCCTGTCAAGAAGAGTGATCGCTTTGAAAGCTCTACCACCACCAGGGACGACTACAAGCAGTGGTACAGCAAGCGCATGGAGCCAGTCAAACCCATTCCCCAGCTGAGCTTCCCCAGCGAGCCCCTGGACTGCCTGACCACCATGCGGGCCCACTATGTGCCCCACCCTCCCATCAGCACCAAAAGCTGTAAGCCGCTTTGGCCTGGCCCGCGAGGGAATGTCCCTGTGGAGGGCAAGACCACGTACACCATCAGCTTCACGCCTAAGGAAATACGCAGGTGCCTGGCTTCGTACCCAGAGCCCCCTGGATACATCTTTGAGGAAACGGATCCTCTGGGGCACAGGCTGTACAGGCCAATTTCCCAGAGCGGTTCTCAGCAGAGTAGCCATCTTTCTGTAGGTGATTCAGAAAACCCCAATCAGCAGCACTTGATCTCGGCTTGAGTTTTGAAAATTATTACTTAGAAGTGGCACAGTACTTTTAAAAGAAGATGACTGAGAGTTATTCATTGGACAAAACAAGAATTCCCCAAAATGAAAAAAGAAATCATCATTACCAGGATGCTTGAATAAAATGAGACTCACTTGACTCAAGGAAAATGACATTTAATCACTGGCTAATTACTCCCCTTAACCCGCCCTCCTTCTGCTGTCTTTCCCTCTTAGTCCCTTATTTTTTGCTCATGGAATCAAAGTTGACGTCTAGGAGGATTTTTCTGACGCAGATGCAGTTTATGAATTTAATCAGTGTATGAATTAACACAATTAACCCTTGCCAATTATGAAGTGCCAAAGAATAAACTTTATTTTGGGGGAATTGAATGTGCCAGTCTGTGTGTTCACCTTCTTGCAACATCTGTGCAGAAAGCAGGCTATTTTCTTTGGGACCTCTGAAAAGATTTCAGACCAAAGCCCCACTGTACTCTAATACAGGTGAGAACGCCCTGCGCCTGATCTGGACTCCTGTTTTTGGTTCTGCCCAGGGTCACTTCACAGGGCGTCTTCTGATCTCTTCACATCATGATGTACCAGCAAGGACGGTGCTCTCTGAAGGCACGTGGATCTCTTGAGTCATGGGGAAGTGGAGGGGTTTGAAAGTTCCAGGGAAAGAGAGACCTGCCAGACCTCTCCCACTGCCAAACCAGTGCAGACTGATTCCAGGGAGAGGAGTGGGGAGAAGGGACCCTTGATGGCCAGGCTGTTGGCAGCAAGCCCCTGGGTTGTGAGCAGGAGCTGTGGTCCTTTTTAAATGCTCAGAGCCTGCAAAAAATTTCCCTGTGCTGGGCTGGTTTTGGGAAAGACTGGATCTATTTGTCCTCAAGTGGCAGCTGTGATCAGGCCTGTCAGAAAGCTTGAGGTAGAACCTGCCCTGAGGAAGAGGCTGGAGGTTTCGCTTTTGGGGCTAAGGTTTGATTCTAAAGCTAAGTGATTTGGAGACTATTTTTTTTCCATTGGCAAGAATTGAGGAGACTTTAAGAGGGCCTATGACATAATCAGATTCATTCGTGGTCTAGGTGAACTCAGGATTGCAGACTCACCCCTGGGACACTTATCTTTCTCTTGAGTCCACAGAGCCCTAAAATGTACTCCATGACCTCAGAGACCTTGGGAACAGTATGGCGAGAAGGAGGACATTTCAGCTCAAGCCTGAAGAGTTGGGCTTAAGTCCAATGGCTGGTTGATGGATGAGAAATCTGCATGGGTGAGAAATCTCTAAGAGCCCAGTCTTTTACCTGGTCAAGATGTCTCAGGTTGCTGCCTCACCATGAGGCTAGTTTCTTCACTGGGTTAGGATATACATAACTTAGTCCTTTTATTGAGTATATGGGGGTCCAGAGAGCTGCCCTTCTGGGGCAGAGATTCAGAGAGGTTAAGCACCTTGCACAAAGCCACAAAGCTTGGAGCACTAAGGCTTTGGGTCTCAGATTTTTTGAGTCAAGATAGAGCACTTTCCCCAGATCATGTGTGTCTACCACCTGTGCGTCCCAAATCGCATGACTCCACAAACTCTATCAAACCACATTCTGTCTAAACTCCTTATTTGGAATATGTGAAGCTGAAAGGATGGTTAAGGAACATAGGTTTTATGGCTTTTGTGCCACCATTTTTACAAATTAAAGAAATTTCGGCACTTGATTCGAAAAATCAAACCATGCTAATGTGCTTATTAAAATGCAGGAATCACATTTGTCCCAGCCCATTATCCCCATTATTGCTTCTCCAGAGAAAACTGTAAAATTTCTTCATCTATCTTTGCTCATACTTTACTTCACATTCCTAAGTCATACATATATACTGCTCTCTGTGCACTCATCAGTTTTAGACATGCTTTTGGTAAATGAGGGTCTTTAGCTCTCCTGCCCTTCCACTCTCTCACACTCCTACACTTCTGTCTTGGTTTTCTTAGTAGAGTTATATGACAGTGTTTGGTTATATCAAGACTAATAAACTGTTCTCACATTTCTGATGACTAGAAGGGGAAGAAGTTGAAGAAGGATGGATTTATCTGGCAGATTAAGGAGTGCTGGGCTCTCTTGGGGTGAGGAATTATCTTAGAGCCTTTCTTTGTGACACTTTTAGGGGTCAGGGTCACCTTCATGGCAATCCCAGATTAGAGCAGCCACCCAGGGCAACCTGCCTTGCCCACTTCTGGACTTAAGGAACTGGCTCTCCCTTTACCACCTGTGCTATTTTGGTCTCAAAATATCCTTTTAGTTATGAAAGTGACTAATACAAGAAAAAAATTCAGAGACTGCAGAAAACATAAAGAAGGGCACAAGTAGCTATGATTAGTACTTGTAGGACTAGTAGAACATACTATTATGAGCAAATGAGGTGAATATACAGTAGACCTGGGCTTGCATATTGACTTTTGTCATTCACGAGTTGTGAAATTTTGGTCAAATTTTTGAAAATGTGGGTAATAGTTATTTTGGCCTCCTAGTTTTGTTTGATAGAATATATGTCGATTCTGTAACCCTTACTCATGATTAACTCTCCTTAAATGTAGATGACGATGACAGTGATGAAGATGGTTGCTGAGCTGGGTCTGGCTAAATCTACTCTGGATTTTATTGAACAGTGTTTACAAGTTTACAGGTGAGTATAACTGTTCATGTTTGTTAGTTTACAAAGAAAGCTATTTCCTTTTTTCCACCCATACAGTTGAATTTTTAGTTTTGAGTCAGGATTGCTGTGCTCCCTGGAAATGTAATTTTAGGAAGTCACTTGGGCCACAAAGAGGGAAAGAGAAGGTGAGCTGAGCAGTGGAGCTTCAGTTCCCATTGCCTGCTCTGTCATAGCAGCTTCTCGTTAATTAGTTCTCTACAATGGATTTCCATACAAGAGCTTGTGGAAAGAAATTTCTACTCCTATTAAAACACACAGGGCTGCCCTGGTGGCCTAGGGGTTAAGTCTCAGCACTATCACTGCTGTGGCCTGGGTTTGATCACCAGCCAGGGAGCTAACCCACATGGCACAGCAGACCTCTCCTGTCTTGCCCACTGCTCCCCTCAGCAATGTATTTCAGTAGATTTGCCTGTTCTGCTTCCCACTCTGTCTCTGGTGAATCCACTCACCCCTCTTCCCCCCACCACCACCTCTGGCCTATGCCCCAGTTCTTCCTATGCAAAAAACTAAAACAGGCACAAACTGCTCCACACCTGACAGGTTCTTGTTCAAAAAACCCCATCCATAGAAGGCTTCAAACACATCATTTTCCCTTGACAATGTGGGGAAGATTTTATATTTTACATGGTATATTTCTCACTTGTGAGAATGAAGTAGGTGCCTAGTCACTACAGCAGTCCAGTATTCTCAGGCTTTGGGTGTTAAAATTGTAACTTTCCTGAAATATAGTTTGCAAAAAAAATAAATCCAATGAAAGAGTTTTAAGGGAAAGCAGGAACCTGCTCCAGCATGGAATCCAATGTACTCTGGGGATGACATTCTGGAGAGGAAAATGGTAGGACTTTAAAGCTGAAAATTGGCCAAGTCTCTCCTATCAGAGGAAAACAGTCTCTGAGGGAGGCTGATCAGCTGGAGGCAGTGGGATCTGTTGGTGTGGAAGTCCAAGGCTGCGTGGACATGGTCTGCTGGCTTGGGATATGGTGCCCAAGGGACGTTTGCTGGCGGGGGGTTCCAATACCAATGATGATGTCTCCCTGCCCATCCATGCACAGGGCAGCCCTTGTATCATGGCTGGGTGGACAGAGCAGGTCTTCTGGCCTTACTTTACAGTGGGGGCCACCCACTTTACCCATCAGTAAAGAGCCCAGCACATTGCTGTCATTTTTGTTAATTAGTTTTATATATTGATTTCCAATATTGGAATCTCCCTCACTACTTAGCTCCACAATGACCACCCCTCCCCGCTTAGGGTATAAATACAGTGTCGAGAACAGCTTATATAGACCCGTTCCTACTGCTTGTTGCAGTGTCACAAGGGTCAGTGTCTTTAAAGGTGATCCTTTTGCTCTTTGGGCTTGACTCTAAGCTCTTAAATTAGGCTTAAGGCAGTGTCTAGAGAGTGAGGAAGGGCGAGGGTGTAATTGAGTCTTGAGACCATCCTCTTTTTTAGCACCATTGGATCCTCTACTTTTTTAAGGTGTCAAGTATTTCAAATCCTGAACCCCTGTTGGGTTCTGTCTTGCAGACTTATTCCCTATCAGCTCCCGTTCTTTTGTGATACTTTTGTTTTGGGCCGTGCTTCCTTTTCTACACTTGTCAGTCATCATTCTACTTTCTACCTCTTATCTGCTTCAAATCTCCTGAGATTCCTTGTCCAGTGATAACCCTCCTCCCATCTGCACTGTGGCATTTTATAATTCCATGATTGCTTTGTTAGAGTTTAATGGTGTATGTGGGATGGGGGAGGAAGATGAGCAGCTGTGGGCAGCCCGCCACCTGACCTCATAGTGTCAGCCGAAGGCGATAAAGAACTAAGATTTCATGGGGTCCTTTTAACTGAAATGCACATCTGGAGGCACATCTGGATGTATCAGGCAAACAGAAGATGCAGATAAAGGGAACCCTGGTTTTGTGGGCCATTAATCTCTGAACCCCAATCCATTCCCCAAGGCTTGTACAGACAGCATCAGACTATGCTCTCCTGTCTTCATCCTTGGTCTCATCCATCCTCCTCAGATATTACCCATGGGGGTGAGGGAAGGGCCTAGGTACTCAGGGACAGCTCTCAGCTGAGTAGAGCCATGGGCTTGTTCTGACATCAGGAGCAGCAGTCTTGACCAAGGCCTATCCTGGGCATGCTTGGGGAGCAAGGACTGTATCTCGTTCCACTTTCATTGCCCTAAACACATTGGAAATAATGCACATGGTTAGAAAAACCACCCTATTCCAAGCTTCTGCCTCGAAAGCAGAAGTGAAGCTAGCTGCTCCCAGGCAATAGGATTGTGACAACAAAGACTTTCCAAAGCTGGGCACCCTTTTGGGATCTGCTCATTTAGGGCATGAAGATGAGCTGAGGGAGTCATTTCCTCTAAAAATGTTTTTCAGCTGTTCAGTTGTCAACAGGACACAGGCAGGTAGGTAGGGGTGTGCATAGGTCTTAATTGTGGATTAAATGGCCCCCTGGTTCCCCAGGCCTGTCCCGCCATCCCCCAGACCCACATCTGGTCGGCAGGCCTCTAGGCGGGAAGACAGAGGTCTTTCTAAGCCTAAGTGCTGGGGGAGGGGCAGAAGGGGTGTTTTCTTTGGCAGAGCAGACTCAAAATTTCCACATGGCTGGCTGAGCAGGTGCTTGGGCTCCTCCTTGTTTTGGGGGTGCAAAGGGAGCCCAAGAGCCTGTGACCCTTCCAGAACATGTGCTCTGATTCTGGAAAAGGCATCAGGGCAATGCTAGGCTGGACTCCTCTTTAAGCCATATTTCTGGGCCACAGATGCCCCTGGTCTCTGCCCCTGGATTCTTAGAGACCAACACCGGCAGTCCCTGATGGCTTTTCCCTGTCAAGCCTCCTCTAAGTGTGGCAGCAAATCCAGCTTGATGTTAACCAAAAGGTTTCAGGAAATTTCCGCTCCTGTGATTGAATTTAACTCTGATTTTCTTGGGTTTTTACTGCCCAGACCAGCCAGTTTGCCTGCCTGCCTGCTTTCCTGCACCCTACATCCTACCTATCTGCTTAGGGATAAGACTATTCTTTCACTGACTACAAGGGAGCTTGGTTACGTCCCTATTTTTCCCAAATCCCCATCATTTCATATAGGGGATCATAAAACAGGGGCGTCCACAAATACTGTGTAAATAGGCCAGCAGCTAGTTGAGAGTTATCATGCCTGAAAAATGACGGA